AAAATACTGGATTTTCTCTTGATATGAATATTGCACACCTGAATGTTGATTGGAAAAAAAATCTAACAAAACATATGATTTGTTTCCTTAAAGAACTGACTCGACTTGTGACTTGACTCTCAAAAACATATACTACGCTGCAACCTAGACTTGTTTTGCTCACACTGTCCTGTCCACAAACCTCTACACACACACACAAAAAAAAAAATGGCAGCATTAGCAGCTCATGCACCCTGTCACATCAGCACCCAAGTAGTATCCTGGCAGACTGCTAATGTGGCAGGCAGGCACTGTGAATACATCATGCTCGCTCTCTCTCTCTCTCTCTCTCTCTCTCTCTCTCTCAGGCCATGCTAAGGGGAAACAGCACTGGCTTTTTTTTCCCCCATTCACTCCAGTTTCATCCCTTCTGTCTACTTCGTTTCTTTCCATTTCGTCCTTCTCATTAAGCCTTCCTCTCTCCCGTGTTCCGTCCCTCAATGCCTGCTTTGCCAGAGGTTTTATGTTTGACCCCCTATCCTGGCGAGGTTAGATGCAGTCTCCTAATGGGACTGAGTTTTCCGGCTAGTTTTCTACCTGCCGCTCGTTCTGCTTAATTAGAGTGTTCCCCAGCATCTCTGACGTGGTGTCTGAACCGCTCTCTAGAGGAAATCCGACTAGTTCCTGCCTACCTTCAAACTGATCTTTTTTTTTTTATTTACTGTTTTGTTTTGTTTTTTTTGAGGTATAAATGTGGGGCTGGACTGGCCTTGTTGTAGTGTGGCCTGTTCATGAACGAATACATGGATTTCAACAGCCTCAAGGATGAGAATATCATTTTAATTGCGCACTCCAGTTGCAGCTGTAAAGGTCAATTGATGCACCCTTTTATTTTTGGGGGAGGTGGGGGGGAGGGGGGGGGGGGGGGGCGTCCCCCCCCTCCCTTATTCTTATATTTGCTTGGTTCCGGATCCCAAACAAATAATTATTTTTTTTTTTTTTTTTTTTTTTTTTCTTTCTCTTTTTTTTTTGTGGGTTTTTTTCCCCCCCCCCCCCCGCCCCTCTTTTTTTTTTTTTTTTCTTCTTTTTTTTTTTTTTTGGGCGGTTTTGTTTTTTTTATTTTTCTTTTTAAACCCATTTGGAATGATCAGGCTTTCTGCATGAATACTACTTCAATACATGGTCTTTTCTATATAAGCATATAAGTCCTACTGAGTAAACACAGCCTTGTTTTATACCCGGCACAGATTTCCTGGTGAGTTTTCGGGAGACAGGATATGGATTTAAATCTTTTGAGGCATGGCATTAATAGAGCAGACGGCGACTGCTGTCAGGCTTCGCAGTCATTTGAGCTGCGGGTTCGACCGGTCTGGCTAAAAAATCACACTCGTCATTATTTCAGTGACTCAATACAACCGAATTCTGGTGCAATACGGTGCAACATGACCTGATCAAAACACACAGCAGACCAAAAAACAAGAACCTCATCAGCTTAAAAGAAAAGAAGCCATTTTTTTTTTTTTCAAAGAAGATGAAAGAAATACAACTTCGTTGCTACTTTTTTGTTCAGCTATTGCACTTGACATTGACTATTCATAAGTGTGCCATTAGGGGGGGACCCAAAAAAACCACTGACTAGGGATAGAGTTCGATGAAGACAATTTACAGGGTGTCCCAAAAGTGTCCATACAAGGGGGACTGCCTAGGTTGCACCACGTAGGTTGTGCTTTCGTCAGTGGATGTTCGCGGACGTCCACGTCTCGGCAGCTTCCCAATCCAGCTGTGAGAATGATTGATTTCAAAACGTTCTTCTATACAAAGCTAAGTATGAACAATTTGGGAAGTCATTTTGCTAAAAAGGGTTTTTCCTCTCCAACACCCTGTATATTATCTGCATTATCGTAACGGGGGCCAAACGTTTTGTGGAATTAACGATAATGATCATGAGTATGAATGAAACTGTGAAATTCTTTTCTTCGCGTACGCCAGGAAGTTGGGGTCAGAGTGTAGGGTCAGCCATGATACATCAACCTGAAGCAGAGAGGGTTAAGGGGCCTTGCTCAAGGGCCCATCAGTGGCAGCTTTGCAATGCTGGGTCTCGAACCCCTGATCTTCCGATCAGTAACCCAGAGACTTAACCGCCAAGCCGCAGTGATGAGAGAGAGAAATGGGAAGTCTTGGTTAAGTGTAAACAACTTTACGGCTAACATCAAAACCCCTCACTGAGGGTTCAATTAATTCCAGAACGTTCTGTAGCAGAACACCACGACGTCTGTTTGTGACCTAAAACCCAAGAGGTTTAGTCAGGCCGCATGACTGTTCACCAAAACAGCAGCGAATCACCAACAGTGTGGTTAAAACAGAAGAAATCCTGTATTATAAAACGTCCTGACCTCAATCCTATTAAAATGCTGCATGTGACCCAACACGGTGCCTTTCAAGCAAGACATCCGAAAGATAAACAACTCTATTTATTTATTTATTTATTTATTATCTACAATTCGGTTCAGCTTGATTATTATTGGCTTGAATATTCTGACACGAGTGAGAGGAAGTTTATAGTCCAGAAGGTTCTTAAAGCTTGTCACAGGCCTGCTTTAGTAACAGAAAACAGCATTATGTGAAGATAAAGTGTAAAAGAGCGGGAGCGTGAGAACCATGCATCTCTGGTGCGTGTCTGATTAACACACACACACACACAACATGCTCTGGACCACCAGTGCTGTCTCACTACACAGTCACGCCTCTTAAGAAGCTCTATTCAGTTACTTTAGATAAAGCCCACTTTATTCCTCTCCTCTCCCACTGAAGTACAGAGAGATGATCTCCCTCCAGCTGAAACCAGAGAAGAGAAAGAGCCGTGTATATCTGTCTATCTATGTACTTGTATATGTGTGCGTGTATATGCGCGCATTATCTATCTATCTATCTATCTATCTATCTATCTATCTATCTATCTATCTATCTATCTATCTATCTATCTATCTATCTATCTATCTATCTATCTATCTATCTATCTATCTATCTATCTATCTATCTATCTATCTATCTATCTATCTATCTATCTATCTATCTATCTATCTATCTATCTATCTATCTATCTATCTATCTATCTATCTATCTATCTATCTATCTATCTATCTATCTATCTATCTATCTATCTATCTATCCAGCTCACTCTCCGACAATAGAGCATCTCTTATTCGTAGTACAGCACATCCATCATCCACGTGAGCTTGATCATAGTTCAGGATTAAATACAGCTGGTAAAACCGCTCCTCACCCACACACCATGGCTGCGTCCGAAATCACATACCATGACAGTACCAACTATATTTGATTCAGTACCCACTGCTCGGCCGCTGACGCTGTACGTACTGATGGGTAAAAGTGGTAAGCATGAATACAATCCAGATGTACTACAAGGCACGGGCTCTACCTGCTCTTCCGTGCCAGTCCCGTTGCATTATGGGAGATCGTGGCATCCACAGTGTCCAGTGGTTCCATACATAGACATATAAATAGATGCCGCTGGGTCGTACGTCAACGGCGTCCGCTATATTGGTCTGGGCAACAGTAATAAGTCTCAATATAAGTCTAAGTCTCAGCTTATATTATAGTTTATATTCTAAACTAAATTGCCCGTAATCGAGATTGGCATCTCCGGTGCCGTTATTCTCCAAACCGACTTTTATGACAAGTGCCTCGTTTCGGCTGAGCGACTGACCTATTGTGGATCTTACTGTAGTTAGTTGGCTGGTTAACTTTTCTCACATGGATGGTTTCCAAAAGAGAGACAGTTGAGGAGGCAGTGGAAGTGAAGTAGCTGTAAGAAGGGAAGGTCTTTCCGCAAGCAAGTCCCACAGTGAGCACTTCCAGCCGGAAGACTTTGACAGGACAGGTCAGACTGTCTGGATTATTATTATTATTATCGCATAAATGTTCCATGATTACCGTCATTTCCGGAATATAAGCCGCTAATTTTTCCACACGCTTTGAACACTGCGGCTTAAACAATGATGCGGCTAATTTATGGATTTTTACGGGCTAACGAGCTTCATGCCATTTAGCCTCGTCACATCGGACCAATGAAATGACCCAACAGGTCTCTGATTCAGTGCATGGTCTAACGCATAAAAGTGAATTAAGTCGGAAATACATTACTATTGTTATATTACTATTTGCACCCCAAATAAAAAAATAACAATTATTATTAAGTATTATTCAGCGCAATATCAATATTACAAAAGGTTTTTTCATATATATTTTATTCTTTACAAAAATGTATGTATGACACTACTTGTTGCGTTACTCTGGCATTAAATGACAAAAAAAAATCCTCATGAACACTGCTGCGAGGGGGTTTCTAATACCGCTGCTGAGGGAGCCATGGTAAATTTGGCATCTTTTTCTCTTCTGACTGCCGTAATCCATCTCTCAATATTTTTATTCATCGCTTGGAAAGTCATGGGATGGAAATACTGGATTTTGTTTTCTTTCCCTGTTGGAACAGATTGTAATGCGGAAGTGATACTTGCTCTGGTCTCCCCTGTCCCTCTAGAGAAGATTACCCTGCTATAGTTGACTTAAACCCAGAAATGGATGTATATGCATGAACACAATCCGTTCTAGCCAATGTATGTCCTAGCGTGACTGAAGTGACGTGCAGGTCTTCAAAATGGAATGAAAAAGTATTATATTTTGAAGAGCTGATTCCTGCAGATACCCTGTGTTGGGTAGTAGGGGTATTCGGGTGTAGCTCGAATGTGTGTGTTAGCTGGGTATGTTCATTAAAAGCACGGAAATGCTGCTGGATACATGGGCGATAAAACTCTCTCGCTGTTCTCCGCCTGTCTGCCCAGTGATGTTTATTTCTGTCTGCTGAGTTTGCGTGTTTTTTTAGAAGCCTGTCTCCTGTCTCAAGTCAACTGTATTTCCTGTCTCGCATTGCTAAAACCGACATGCCGGTTTCTCATTTACAACATCAGAAGGATTCGTCCGTTTCTATGGGCCTACACACACATACGGGGAGGGAGTCGAACCCCCAACCCCAGGGGTGTGAGGCAGACGTGTTAACCACTAAGCCACCGTTAGCATTAGCCTTTAAATGGATTTGTTATTAGATTGTTTAACCCATCTCGGTAGGTTGACATAGTAGCAGTTTGCTCGTTTTAATGGAATATGAATGGACTGTGTAGGTAGAAACATGTCCGCTCAAGTGCTCTCAGAAAAGCGTAAAAAAGTAAATGGACTAAGGATAAGAGCAATTTCAGGCAATTAGTAATAGAGAGGATTGCCGTAAAAGTGAGTGGAGAGCATTTCTGAATTGTCTCATCACCCAAGCGTTCCAGTCTTCACTGTGATATGTTTAACGTGCAGAAGACGCAAGGTTTAAAAGCTAAACCAGTCCATCGCTGGAGGGTTGTTTCTCATATATCCACATGCAGGAACGTAAGTGTTCATAAGTCAAGACATCTGAAAGTGAGAGTGGAGGCAGAAACTGAAAATCCCGCATTACCCAAAAACCCCAGGGGCTGGGATTTGTTGTGACATGCCTGCATCTCACGTCCAGTCACGGCTGCACTCTCTGACCCCTATTACTGCCTCCAGAAGTGCAAAAGTAAATAAAAATCCCTTCCCAGGCTGATATCTGTTAACGGCTTGATTGGGTTATGTACAGGAAGACTTGTTTTTTTGTTTGTTTGTTTTTGTTTTTTTTTTGCTATGGTTAAGTCTTTAATCATCTTAAGTGGTGGGTGTGGAGGACTTGCCGAAATCTGCGTCACACATTTTCGCAGACCCGATTTTCCCCACCTGATTGCTTTCTCATTTTTCTTGGGAGAAGATTTATGGCCCCCCGAATCGGCGGGACAGGTTATTACCACGAGCTCTTAAAAGTCATCATTCAAGCGAAGAGGCAAATGTCTCACACTTTCTGGAGGACCTGACTCAATGTTGTTAGCATCCTGTTCTCATGTACCAGCTCGATGAGCTCGGTGTTCTATCACAGGATGCACCGTTATTCTGGACACTCCAGGCAAACCGCTGCCTTTTTTTTTTTTTTTACAGAGCTTGGGAATGCATTTGCATCTCCAAACTAGAGTAGAATGATCCAGTGTTCGCTTTACATGTAACGTGTAACTGTTCATTCTAGCGGTTTTGTTTGTGAAAGTGTGAAACCAGTCTGAATTAATTTAAGACTCAAGTTCTTATTACTGAATAATTCTCTTTAGGCTTGCTTGATATTGATCCCCCCCCCCCCTTTCTTAGGATTTATCATTTAAAATGATCACGATAAACTATTTAATCACCCAGAACCAATAGCCTGAGAAGAAGACAGGAGGAAATACATTCCAACCATTTCATGTTTAATGAGAATAGTATTACCAGCTATGCAGTCAGTAGGGACAATCGGGAAAACTGGAATATGGCTTCTTTCTTTTCTTTTCTTTTCTTTTTCTTTTTTAAAAATGATTCCACATAAACACTTTTTTTTTTTTTTAAATCCCATAACTACATTTTCAATATAATCCTTGGATTTCTGATGTCCACATGGCTGACATTTTTTCACTGTTCACTGCCGCTGCTCAATGTGCTCAAAATATTCTCCATTCACCTCTGCGTGTGAGAAAGGGAAAGGGGGTGGGGCTTCAAGGGGGGGGTCGGTTAATTCCGTAGAATTCACAACCACGCGACTCAATTCCATATTCATGTTTTGAGTGATGGCTCATAAGAACGCACGGTATTGTTAAATCAATGTATAAAGCGTGTAAAGTAATGTACGATGTTCATCCTTGGATATTGTGGCAGTGTAATATCATGTAGAGATGATTTCAATTAAACCGTTATATTGCACAAGCCCGATTTCTCTTAAACACCGTCCACATGCAGGGTTAGATAGGGATGTTTGTGAGATTCCTTCAAATCAGTAAGCGTTGAAGCGATCACCCAGACATCCCTTGTAAACATCATCACCTGCTTGGTGCATTAGATGAGCACCAGTAGCAGCCTTTATTTATTTATCACATATACATTACAGCACAGTGAAATTGTGGAGTACGGAGTCAGCCATGATCCAGTACCCCTGGAGCAGAGACGATGAAGGGCTTTGCTCAGGGGCCCAACAGTCACAGCTTGCACATGCACGGTTAGACTATTTGTGATTCCTGCGAGAGCCAGATATCCCTCGCAAACATCATCAGCTGCTTAACTGATTATATATGATCTATACGATGAGAAGAATTCCGTCCCGATGGTTTCGGCTTGCCCTTCAGCACTGTTCCTACATTATGGACTTGATGGATTTTCCACATCTTAAGTTGTCAGAACATGGGAGTTAGCATCTCCTTCGCCGTAGACACCACAGCGTTTTCGTTCCATTTCTCAGTCTTTTGGTATAAACCTTTTGAAGAACCGTCACCCATGGCCAGGAGCATGATCCTGCCGTCCCCAATCTGTGTGCACAGTTGTCACTTGATTCCGTGTTTTATCTCTGCATCGCCTTGACCACACGCCTCCACTTCAGACCTCGGTCTCAGCAGGAGGCCCATCCCCGACGAATTCCTTCAAACTAGCTTCACTGCAAAAACAGCATGGCTTTAAGAACGGGCAGCGGCTGTGAGAGCGAGAGCTGTTGGATTGATGAAATTTCAGTGACACATACTCCCTGACCTCTAAACCATCCACGCTTCATAAAACCCTGCTCTACTGCTGTCAGATTCTCAAACCATCTTACTTGGTTAGACCCCTGCTTCTGCCCAGTCACTGTGGTGCCTTGTCTCTGCTCCAATCAACATGACTGATGCAGTTGTTACAGGCCACTGAGCAAGCTGAGACGACTATTGCTCACCATGCTCTTTTGCCGCTTTGACATTTAGAAAGTCGGTTTGTGTTTATCTGTCACAATCGAACTATTTCTTCTGTCTGAGATTGGCTAGGTCTGTCCAACAAAGGCTCTGGCATTTCCCAAAGATTGTATACACCTGCATGTTTTGTATCGGGTTTTTCTTTATCTTTTACTTTTGACAGTCACTGAAAGACATAATTGGTTACCGATCATGAATGGTAGTGTAGGCGAAATTCATACATGTGCCTGAGGGCATGCTTTTGATGCGGTAAAAATAAATAAATAATGGAATACTAGCATGTATGACCCACATTTCTATGAAGCTCATTTTGAGCTCAATGGTGCCTTTTGTTCTTGGTGTACATTTGTACATCTTTAATATAACGCCACTCTTTTGGCTAAAATAGTCAAAGAGATGTGAAGTTATTTCATGGGTCCTGTGAAATGCTATACTGAACTAATACACACCGATGAGGCTTTCAAAATTGAAAGAAATAAATAAACGTCTTGCTTTGAGGGCCTTTTCTTTTATTCTTTTGTTGAGTTGGGATCTGATGGCCGTCAGAGACACGAGTCATAGTTTAGCACTAAAAATTGTTGTTGTCAAAATACATAAACTGATGAATCAGCATGATGATGAAAGTGTGTCTGGGAAGTCTGACTGGAGTTACTGTTCACTTCCAGACCACAGAGTTTAGCTTCCACTCTTCTGTGGGTATCCGCACACACCCGGGCTCTCACTCTGCTGCCTGTTAACTGAGGTGGCTCGTTACACAGGCGTAAAAGCTTAAAAAAATGGGCATTTTGTGGGGGGGAAAATGCATTTCTTTGAAAAAAAAATCACAGCAATTTATTCATTGAACCAGTGAGAACACGAGTCCTGTCTCAGTCAGACTGTCGGCCAACAGCATGGTTTCTGCCTAAATACAGTAGTTCTCTGAGACCTCGGAAGTGAACAATACTTCGCTTCTAGCTGTACAGCAGGTATCTCTGAATATAGGGATGTGGTTCTCACAGTGGGGTCTGTGAAGCGTAGCCAGAGGGTCAGGGGTTTATTTTTATTTTGTTTCAGCAGTGGGGAATCCTGCAAAACATTTTGACAATTTTTTATTAAAGAGTGTGTTCAACGGCACTAACTGGACCGAGCTGATCCAGTCAACGAAGGCCTTCAGCAGCACATAAATCAGAGATCAGAATCAGTTAGAAATACCTCTTGTAGAAGGAATATCTTAAAGTTGACAGATTTACAGCAGTAAGCGATCATGTGCTGTATTGCGTCTTGCTGCATATATGGAAATATGCATATATATATTTTTAAAAAATAACTCCATTTCCGACCTCCAACTAGAACTAACCAAAGGAAACAGCCCTGAATTCCTAGTTGGGATCTCTGGACGGTCTGCTCAACCCCAAGTTCAACAAGTGACGGCAAATCAACGTGGCTGCTCACAGCATGGACAGAAAACTGAAATCTTGGAGGGACTGTAAAGCAAATACGTTTATATACGAGAAGATGAGTACGGCCAAAAGGTCTCGTTTACCAATAAACGTCATTGCCGAGGAACGTGCATAATAATTTCGTGCAAATCGCAGTTTCGCCAATTCGAGTTGATTTCTGCAAAAACTCCCACGTACCGTTTTATCATATTTCCTGGATTGCCTTATTAACTGACATGACCTTCTGCTATATTCCCCAGATGGGAAATGAAACCGCAGAACTTTTTATTTTTTATTTTCTTTTATCTCATACCGTGTATTAGTATCAGGCTGAGGTCAGTAGGAAACTGGATCGGATTTCCCCCCCCAAAAAAGAATCTGATCCATTTGGCAGTAAATCTAATCAGAAATATCACAAAAGCATGTAGGGAGACATAACATTCATAGTTCATGCGATAATAATGGCTCCTTTGAGTTCCATCTTCATTGTGGAAAAATCACTAGACTGGGTGCCCGAGACCAACACATCACATCTCAGCTGTTTGTTTTTTATTTATTTATTTATTTATTTATTTATTTTTATTCATGGCTGCCCAGCAAATGTACTATTTTTCCAAAAGTATGTTGACACCTGATTATCACACCCACATGTGCCGTATGTGATATTTATTTTAATAGTAATGAGTAGTTTAAATAGCTTGATCTGGTACTCAAAGTTTCAGCATTTTGTCTGTCTGAAAATAAAAAACACTCGACATTTGAGCGTCTGTCCTGTGCTCCGGCATTCACATTAGCTTAGTCCATTGTGCCT